GCATAATGGGAATGAGGCACTGGCAATCACGAAGCACGGCCCAGAATGAGGTGTCATAGCCTCCATTAGGACCTGGTAGACGCACGCAAACATACGCCTGTTTCAAAATGCTCCTTGCCCCTCTGATAAATAATGCACTATAGGATTCTGTACTATAATTACTATACCGTGTGATTGCATCTTGCACACATTTAACTTCTGCAGTTTCAACTATACATGGTTGGAGGCTAACTGGTTGAAATACTGCAATTTAAATGCAAGCAAGGCAGAGAGCTTAAAAGCTCTTTTTGCACCAGTTTTTCCCAGCTCAAAGAAAGCTTTTGAGCTGTCTGCTTTGCTTTACAGGCAAGGTTTTCATGGCCCACTAATTCTTCGAAAGCTCTTGGAAGATCTCATGGGGCTGTCCTAGTTCTCGTGAGATGTCACACAAGCGTCTTTACTCTTTTAGAGCTGGTGCGCTGAGCAGGCCTTACCCGACAAGCAAAATCCAGCATGAAAATAGCTTTTGAGCTCTCTGCCTTATTTGGTGTTTGTGTGTGTGTGCAGGACAAAGTGGCAGGGCAAATCCCTCTTGGGTGCACCAGCTTCAGAAAGCTAGGGGTACAGATTGAGTATGCATGTTTTTGCAAGGGAACCTGTTAGGTTGTGGGCGAACATGTCAGACGACACAGCGATTCTTTAAACTGGTCTTCTTTATTCAGATGCCAGAACAGAACTAGGCTGAGGAGCTCAGTCAGCCTGCTTATATAGAGCTCCAGAACAATGCAACTGTTGCCATTTTCTAAAACTATCCAATCACTGAACATCACTTTTCGATCCTTCATTTGCATACAAAACTATCCAATCACTGAACGTCACTTTTCGATCCTTCATTTGCATAACTATCTACAGTATCCCCCTGCTGGCCCAGGGTGAGAACTTCAGTACATAACAGAACCCTTGGGCCCAAACACCCATGTATGACACAGTCATACTATACTATACTCTAGGACAGCCTTTTTTAACCTTGGGTCCCCAGATGTTATTGAACTACAACTCATCCCTGACCTGCTAGTTTGGAGTGATGGAAGTTGTAGTCCAACAACATCTGGGGACCCAATATCAAGAAAAGCTGCTCTAGGATGTCCACTGCAATTCTCAAGTAATCAGCTGATGGAAAAATAAGCTGTTGTGCTGGCTTCCAATCTCAGAGCAGTGATTGTGTTTGTGTAGTTATTTCCCCCATTAACTTCTAAACACATCTGTCCTCCCTCCCTGTCTCTCTCAGCACATGCCTTACCACTGGTGTGCCCAACTACTCTGCTTTTATAGCAGCCAGCACTGCTTTTGCAAAACTTGTGGTAATGCAGCTTAGCAACGGAGAGAGTGATCATGGAAGAAAAAATGCTTTGCTCATGCATCAGGTTTCAGAAGTGAAATGAGGAAGGGGAGGGGGGAACCGCAAAGCAACAGAAGCATTCAGGGTTTTTTTCCCAGCCCATTCTCAGATTGGCTTGCAAGGTCTGCCTCGAGAATCAGTTTCACTGGCAGCCAGGTAGGAATGAGCCTGGAATGGTGACGACCAGATGCCAGCAGGTGGTTCTACCTTTGAGCTTCCTCACATGTCAAGTGTGTTAAGGTGGAAAACATATATCATCAGGTGTTCCAATTAATGGGCTGTTAAGAACAATCAGCTGTTTCAAATTTGCAAGTAAATAGCCTCGCAAGGTGAGCATTAAGTGGCATTCTGGGACTATATCGTTCTTGTCCCCATCAGGTACTCAGTTACACCAGCTGCATTTACAAGGCATAAGTGACCTTTGGTATTTCCTACTGGTTCAGGCTCAAGGGTGTCAAAGCTAAAATGGTTTACAGCTGAACCCAGGTGGCTGGTCCTTAGCGGAGGGAGGGGGAGCAAAGTTGAGCAGAAGGTGACACCTCCTCACTCCACATCTCCTCAGTGATGCAACACAGGGCTTTCCAATATGGAAGAACAGAAGAGGTTGCTGGATCAGGCCAGTGGCCCATCTGGCCCAGTATCCTGTCCCCACAAGGACCAACCAGATGCCTGTGGGAAACCAGAAACAGGGCATGAGTGCAAAAGCCCTCTCCTCTCCTGTGGTTTCCAGCAACGGGTATTCAGAAGCAATACATCCACAGACCATGGAGGCAGCGCATAACCATGATGCCTAGTAGTCACTGATAGCCCTCCTCCTCCATGAATTTATCTAGTCCTCTTTTAAAGCCGTCTAGGTTGGTGGCCATTGCTGCCTCCTGTGGGAGAGAGTTGCGTATTTGACAATGTGGGCTTTCTTTTATCTTCCCTGAATCTCACAACATTCAGCTCCATTGGATGTCCACGGGTTCTAGCATTATGAGAAAGGGAGACAAACAGCTGTGCTGATTCCCAGTTCATTTCCGGACTTAATTTAAGGGGCTCATGCTGAGGTTTAAAGCCCAATGAAAGACTGCTTCCTTCCCTACAGACCCCCCTCAGATGCCAAGACTGGTTGTTCCACTGCCTTCGGAAGCTCAAGGGGTGCAGCCAGGGAGAGGGCCTTCTTTGTGGCAGCCCCTAAGTTGCAGAACTCCCTCTCCACAGAGGTGTGTCTGCTACTTCATCTATACTGCATCTGGTGATTGCTGAATACACATTTCTTTAAACTCTAGCCTTTGGCACCTGATGTGTATATTTTTAGGGCCCACCTTATCTCTGACTTTGTTTTAAACTGTTTTTAACACACTGTTTTGATTGTTGCAACCTGCCCTGGAACCTGAGAGTGAAGGGCAAGTCATAACTGTTGCTGCAAGGGGGGAAACATAGGTATATAAGGAGAATTCCTGGGTGTCAAAGTCCAAGTTTGGGGCAAGTGCTCTTTGATGTGAGAACCCCAGCAGGGATTTAAAATCACAAAATATGCAGCAAAGTTAAGCATGGAAGTATGAACTGTTAGGCTTTTGAAATATGCCCTTGTGATATCCAAAATGTCTCTTTTCCCCTAGCATAGAAAAAGAACACCCATTTTGTAGCTTTAAAATGGTTTACTTGCAAACTCTCCAGAGGTCACATTCATGTGCTTTTCCATACAGCATTCTGAAAAAGTTTCATAGGCAGTACAACTTGGCTTAGTTACAGTAGCAGAAGTTCCTAAATTATTGGTATAGGACAGGGGTCAGCAAACTTTTTCTGTGGGGGGCCAGTTCACTGTCCCTCAGAACTTGTGGCGGGCCGGACCGCAAGTGAGAGCATGTACACACCCCCTCCTTCCTTCCCTCCTTCCCTTGGAGACAGAGCGGCTGAGATACTTCCACTCACTGCATTCAGATGGAGCTGGCTGGGCTGGGGAGGGAGTGCTGGGTCTCAGCTTGCATGGAGGGGCCACAGCCACCCCCTGGGGTGTCCATGACTGTGCTGCTAATGTGCCACCTCCGAGCAGCACAGAAGAGTCCTCCTCCTCACTCCTTGCAGGCTCTCTGCTCCCGCTTCTTCCAACCCCTTCACTTCTCCTCCTCCCTTCTCAGAGCTAGACATCAACAAGGGACCCTGCCCTGTGCCTCGCCCCAATTGGAGCAGCGAGTCTCAGGAAGGGTCACCATTGGCCACTGGCTCGCATCAAACTAGCCAATGGAGGGGAGGCCTGAGGTTGCTAAGCGTTGCGGAAGTCTGAGCAACCTCAGAGCATGCTGGGAGATGTAGTCCGGGGGGGGGATTGCAAAAAATGGCACCCCCCTAAAAAATGTGGGGGGGATTGGCAATTGCGCCAATCCAAGTGGCAATTGCAGAAGCATTTACAGGCCAGATCCAGAGGCAATTGGGCTGGATCTGGCCCATGGACCATAGTTTGCCAACCCCTGGTATAGGAGCTCTAGAGTGGCTTGTGGAGCAAGCAGCTTAGCCTCTTCACAAGCTGAGTTCATCAGGTAGACTGGGGAGGGAACAAAGACTTTATTGCCTGGTTTTCCCAAGGTGAGCTAAACCTGGCAGGACAGCTTATTCTATGACCTTAACTCTTTTGTGCATTAATTAGAGGTAAGCATGTTGCTTATATGAGGCTGGTTCTCGCACAATGACAACAACAGCAATAACATGTCCTAAGCAGTCTTGCTTATTATTAGAAGCTGTGGGCTAACAGCATAGGATGAGTGTCTCCGTTGTATGTGCATACTAACTTCTCAGGGGCTTCATGAAAAACAGATTGCTAGATGGAGGTCTTACCTACTTATCTGGGAGTAAGCCCTTTTTTGGGGGGGGGGGGAGTAAGCCCTTTTGAACTCCAATAGGGCTTACTTGTGAGTACGGGCATGTATGCAATAGCCCTGTAAATGGATCTTCTGTCTGATTCAACAAAGCGAGCCTTGTAGGTTCTCATGGAAGGCTTTCCATGCTACAAATGAAAGCATAGGAAGTGTCTGCTGGATCCAGCCAATGACAGTGTTCTGTTCTCATGGAATTTGAGCACAAGAGCCTTCTCCCTTCCTGTGATCTCCAACAACCAGCGTTCAGAAACATTAGAGGTAGAATTGTGCTCTGCAATTACTTTGGAGATTTCACGAGACTGGGAGAGCTTCCGTGAGATGCACTCAAAAAATACTCTGCTCATATTGCTTTCACGACATAAAAAAGTAGCATGGGTTGGAGAGAGAGGCAGCTCTGTGCCAAACACAACCTAGAAATGGGAACTCCTTGCACTCTTAGTTTCATTCTTGGCATGGATCGAAAGAGATTGTTAGGCCCAGTCTTAAAGTCAGCTCTGTGTGTCAGAGAGAGAGAGCGTAAGCATAGTGCCCTTTAAATGTTGGGGACTCCATCTCTCATCAACCCCTGCCAGTGTGGCCAGGGATGATGGGCTTTGTAGTCCACAATATATGGAAAGTGCCTCAAATCGCCCACTCAGTCCTTAAGCTCATTGAAAGTGCTATGTGTGCCACTTTGAGCTCTGTGAAGAAAAAGGTAGAAATAAATAAGGCTTTCATGCCAGGCTAGCAACTAGCAGAAACATCCCTGGGATATCTTTTACCAATGCTCTGTGGCATAGTGGGTCAGTGCATCTGACTGTTAACTAGAAGGTTGGTGGTTCGAGCCCACTCAAGGACAGCTGTGGGCAGCGGCTTGGACTAGGTGACCCTTGGGGTCCCTTCCAACTTCAATTCTATAACTATGATATAAAGAACAAAAAAAGAGGTTTCCTTTACCCCCCAAAAAAATAAAATAGAAACCCTGCCTTCTTGAATGTTGCAGGTAAAGCACAATCACCCACCAAGGTCAAGTTCTTACATGAGACAGATGGGCAAAATCAATGTTATTAACATCTGGGTGTTTGTGTGTGTACACAAACAGACACATCCTTCTTTCTAGGTCACTCTGACCTGTTCTGCCTAGACTGCTTTATCTTTGTTTTTTTTAACAAAAAAATGTTAGTTTAAATGTAATTGTAAAAACATGTGCTGTGAACATTCTCCCTCTCTGGACCCCTCCCTGCTTTCATCACCCCACAGAAAGATACAGCATATTTGAGAATGTTTCAGTAGCTGGACATTTGCTGTTAACTATTCATTAACAATGATTAGAGCTGGTGAATTTAGCTTTGTTTTTTGGTGAGTGAAAAAGGAGATACTGCTTTTTTTCCCAAGGATCTCCATCTCTTGGAACAAAATGGTGCCTTTTTATTATTTTTGAATAAAGTACCATTATGGATTCAGTTCACTCTGACTCGAGGACTGAAACCTGTTAATTTGCAGAGGGGAGGGAGAAGGAAAGCTCTCTGTTCTCCAGTTTACCATGTGCACCAAACAAAAATGGGCATGTGTGGGTGAGCACCAGCTAATGCTAGCAGAGTCTTGGTCCAATGAATCATAGAACCATAGAGCTGGAAGGGACACCAAGAGTCCACCCTCCTGCCATGCAGGAATCACAGCTCACATCTGGGTTGGCAGCCATCACTGCCTCCAGCGGGAATGAGTTCCAAAGTGCATGAATGTGCACTGCATGAAGAAGTCCTTTCTTTTCTCTGTCATGCAGCTCATTGGTAGAGCATCTACTTTCCAGTTTCAGCCCTCAGCATTTCCAGGGAGGGCTGGGACACCTGCCATCTGAAACCCTGGAGAACTGCTGGCCTAATCAGGTAGAAAGCAGTTGCCTCTCTTGTTTTTATGCTGTTTGCAGTGGCTACTTCTTGAGAGGCAGAAACCCAGCAGTGGGTTGGCAGGCAGGAGCATCAGGGAGGAGGAAGAATTGCTTCCATTCCTCCACATAAAGCAACTGCTGAAAGAATAGAGCTTCTAGAGCAGGGCCTGGCATCACCCGTAGCCTCTTTACCTTCCAAGGCATCCAAGCGATTAGGATATTTGGCTTACATTACTGGAGACTCCGAGTTCCAGTTTCTCTTGGCTTATTAACGCTAGATAGCTGCTTCCAGCCCAACCGGCACTGGGGCTTTTTGGACAGTGAAGGCTCTAAAGGGTGAGAAAGTAGCCACCACCATTTCAGAAAGGACAAGCCACCAGTTCTGCACCACTGTCAGCTGCCCCTCTTAAACACCCTAGTCCGCCCTAATCCAGTGCAATACACACACCCCTTCCACAGTATACTTCATTGTCTGTGGGAATTTCTCATTGAAACTGGCCAGTCCCTTTGATGCCTGAAATGTGCCAGTCAATGAATAAATCCTAAATATTATTTACTCATTACAGTACCTTCCCTTCACCCTCAGGCTCCAGGGACAATTGAAACACAATATTAAAATACAATTTAAAACAAATTACAATTCACAAAAAATAAGGTGTGTCCTAAAAATATACACCTCAAGTGTCAAAAACAAGGGTAAATAGGTGTGTCTTCAGCAACCCCCAGAAGCTGTATAGCCAAGGTGCCAGTGGGGTGCTGTGGGGACGGAGTTTCCCAGCTCAGGGGCTGCCACAGAGAAGCCTCCCTCCCCCTGGGCCACCACCAGTTCCCTGAGCCTCTGTGGGCAGAGGAACTACCAAGAGGGCCCTCCTCAGTACTTGAGAGGGTCTGTAGGAAGGGAGACAGCTTTTCAGATACAGTGGTGCCCCGCAAGGCGAATGCCTCGCAAGACGGAAAACTCGCTAGACAAAAGAGTTTTCCGTTTTGGAGGTGCTTCGCAAAACGAAGCTCCTATGGGCTTGCTTCGCAAGACGAAAATGTCTTGCGAGTTCCTGCGGGGTTTTTTCCCTCCCCCCCCTTTTTCTAAGCCGTTAAGCCGCTTATCTGCTTATCCGATAAGCTGATAAGCCGCTAAAAGCCGCTAATAGCGCTAATCCGCTAATCCGTCAATGGGCTTGCTTCGCAAGACGAAAAAACCGCTAGACGAAGAGACTCACAGAACGGATTCTTTTTGTCTTGCGAGGCACCACTGTATTTGGAGCCTGTGTCATTATAGGGCTTTGAACACCAGCAAAAGCACCTTGAATTAGGCCTGGAACTGGTGTTTTAAAATGGGTTGTATGAGATCAAAATGGGGCTGCAGCCAGCAATCTGGTTGCTGCATTATGGGCCAACTGACGTTTCTGAAGCATCTTTAAGACAGAGCTAATTGCAGTAGTGTAGCCTGAAAGTTACCACCTGGAAATAACACACTTCAAGTGTCAAAGGACTAGGATAAAGAGGTGCATCTTCAGCATCTTTCAGAAGCTGTGCACTTCTGTAGGGAACCCTACAGTTTAGGGTCTGCTGCAGAGAAGGCCTTCTCCCAGACTGCTGCCACCCCAACCCTCTGAGAGCAGAGGGCCCCTTCTGCAGAACCGAAGGTGGTGCCAGATGTATCTCTGTGGGGAGGGTTTTCCAAGATAGACTGCCATCATGGATGCAGGCCTGCATTCTAAGCCCCATCAAGGGCAGCTGGGAAGTAAGTGCCTACACTGGCATGACCTTGTTTCCAGAATACAGCCAACAGACACCGTAATAACATACGTCTGCCTTACTCTCTGCGCCTGAACTGCCTGCTCTCGGTCTCTAGTGTTGTCAAGGGAACCACTGATATTCGGAGGTGTCAACTGAAAATCACGGGTGATCTTTGAGGAGCCTAACCCATCCCTGCCCCAGGCACATTTTGTTTTCCGATTTATAGAGCATTCAGAATGAGTAATGGCCTTTCTCTTCTGTCTCCCCTCTGGCAGGAGCAGCCGTCCTAAACAGAACATTCCCGTTTTATGGCCATTGTGCCTGCCTGCTTAATAGGCTCTGGTCTCCCCTTACAGAAGTTGAGCTTCTCTGTGGTCTAGGGTTGCCAAACCAGAGGTTTTTTGAGCGCACTTAATTCCTGACAGGCCATACCATGCGCACACACCCGCCCAATGTTCTTGGCGGCCAGATTTTCAGCTGCATCAGACAAGGAGCTGGACAGGCCCTGAGTACAGGAATGAAGTAATAATATTGAGCCACTGTCGTTTTTTTCTTTCTCAGTCTGTGGCAGGTTTTATACTTCAGCAAGCAGATGGAAGGCTAGAGTGTGAATTATGGGGATGACCACCTCCCTCACTCTCATTGTATCCAATGACAGGCAAAACACTTAATAAATGTCCCCCTTCAATCTCACTCTCATACACTCGCTATCAGAATTGTGGAGGTATAAGGGATCCCAAGGGTCATCTAGTCCATTCCGTGCAATGCAGGAATTACAACTAAAGAATCCCCAACAGATGGCCATCTAGCCCCTGTTTAAAAACCTGAAGTGAAGGAGAGTCCAATACTAGATCAGATTAAAGCAACTGGAGCCCTTGGGCTAGGAGACCTTGGGAGGCCCAAACCTAATAGCATCTGATCAGGAGATTCATCTACTCAATGAAAGCAGAACATTGCTGAATTTTTAGCATTGGTAAAAAGATTGTTTATAAATGTATAACCTAATAAGTTTACAAAAGCATGGAATTATTGAATACATTTTGGATGCAAACTTATCAATAATATCATTAAAATCAGTAAGTTGCAGTTTATCATTTTCAATGCAGAGAATGTTAAGATCAGACAACCCGTCTCGGGTCATTGTTGACAGTAGATCATTCTTTATCCTTTTTAGTCTAAAAATTATCTTTCTTCAGTACAGTTTGTAGCCATTAAACAAAGGAACAATTTGAAAATTTGTTTCCACATTTGGATGGAAAGGCAGTGTGAATTTTATTCTGGAATATTACTTGATACACATCTTGGTGGCTGAAATTTTCTTTTTCAGGGTGAGCTTGTTTGACATACAGGTAGAAGTGCAAAAGTTCAACAACTAGACTAAGGTCAACATCCTTTAGATATTCTTCCATCAACACCGTTGTGAATCTGTTCTTTGGTTGCTTACAGGTTCACCAAAAATGAAAATTGCCAACTACACTCCTATACACTGCTGCTCTTCTGCCTGGGTTGACTTCAAGAGTATTCATAACAGGGATAAATGAATTTACCCTAAACTTGTCTCTTGCAGAAAGTTTGTCCACAGCTTTGGGTGCTCTCACATCATTGGCTGGATTTTGTTTGTTTGTTTGTTTGGTATTGTCTGGCTTCTTTTGACAGTTTTGTATTCTACATCTGGTAGTCAATTTTGCTTGCTGTTCAATTTCATCAAAATTAGCCTGAGTGTTTGATATGAGCTGCAATAGTGAGCTGCAAATATTTGTACATGTGGTCAATGAAAATTGTGAACTTTGGAGTGCCTTGCTAACTTTATGAAATTGGTCTAGCAAATGTGTCCCAATGTGCCCAGTGCTAACATTCTAATGGCCCTTTCACAATCCAGAATGATATTCCCTCATTTATTCCATGTGGTCCATGAACCTACATCATTCTTGTCTCTGACATCACTAGTAGCAGGCACAGTTGGTATTTTTATATCTACAATGTTACGGTTTTGCCAAGATCATTTGCTTTGTTTTCCAATTCTTTTAAGATGATAATGAGCTTGAACTGCTTCTTTTTGTGTAACTATCTTGTGGCATGTTCCTTCAGTGCCTTGTGTTAATTCTTTGGCTGTAGATCCTGTCACTCCATTGTCACTTTCTCCAGACATTTCTATACTTGTAGTGGTAGTTATTGACAATGGTTCTCCTTGAAGTTCTTGGGAGGCTGCGTTCTAAAGTGGTTGTTCTTCAGTCT